ACCTGAAAGGGACCTTCAGAGCTGCAAGTCATCCTCGTTTCATGCAATAGTACAGTCACCGGAGCTTTCCTGGGTTTTCTAGCAGGGGAACCAAGCTTTCCATGCTGCGATGATACTTAGCAAGAGCTGAGGCATCTAAAAGGAAAAAGCCCTGACAGCAACATGCCAGCCATGCTGGATGTTGCACATATTGCAAGTGCATCTCAACCAACAGCCTCCAGAAGTAAGCAGAGGAAAACAGGAATTGCCAACAAAGGTCACCAGTTCTCTTGTATTTTAAGGTTTTCCTGATGTCATTGCTCTTCACTTCAGCATCTGCTTTTATAGGCCTCACCGCTTTCACACCAGGAAAGAGAAACATTGCAGAGCTCTCAGATCATAAGTCCACTCACCCTTCCTTGCTTGTCCCACTGGGAGATGACTCTGGGTGCTGGATTTCCCTCTCAGCGCAGCATGCAGAGGAAGGTTGAACATGCAGGACAGACAGACAGCCCAAGACATTCACTCCGTGGCTGCGGTAGAGCCCTCCACCAGCCAGACCCGCATTGCAGCTTGCTTTTCATGCTGGAAGCATTGAAAAACCACCTGCAGACTGCTTGACTGAAACACAGCAATCAGAATTTAATAACAAAATAAGCACGGATATTGGTTCACACCTAGTTGCATGAGTAAGAATAGGCTGGCCATCTTCCATAAGAGTGGGCAGGATTTTCTATACTATGTGTAAAGTAGGCTACCTTAGTGCTAAAATGTTTTGAAACATGGGGGAGTAGACCATGAGCCAGTCCAATCCATGAAGATGAGCTATGTTAGTCCTGGTGCTTTTACAGCAGGCGAGGCTGTGTAGGTGCCAGTCTTGAAGCACCAGGTGTTGGCAGCAGGGCAGTCTCAGCTTGTGCTTCTCCAGTTGCAAGGTTCTTGTTTCTCCAAATGTTTCTCCTTGTGACCCAAGGTTATCCGTTGCTTTCTCCATCACTCGAGGACCTTTGTATTCTTTTCAGAGTTTTGGTGTTTTACAGTCCAGTAGCCTTAGTATTTCACCTATACTAAGAAAGGATTTCTTGATGTATCCAGCATTTTATATCTTACAGTGAAACCTCACAGGGGACCTCTGAGACCCCCTTAGTACTCTCCTTCTGCTGCATGTATGGCTCTTAACAGGTTGGTTGTTCCACTATAGTGTCTGCTTCTGGAGCTGTCGCAGGACCTACAGTTTAGGAAAACTGCTTTGAAAATCAGTGTAACTACTTAAATTTCCCCTCACTGCATGGCTTAATTCCCTTTGGAGCCTATCTCTGGAAGGATACTTTACATACTACTTATCTAAGTTGGCAGTGAACAGTCTATGTATCCCTATAGGAGCATGTATAGGCAGAAGATGGCTTTAGCGAAAGGAAGCTGTTCTTGTGCAGTTTATATTCAATTTAGCAACTTGAACAACTTCTCACTTCTTTCCTTGGATCTCATCATTTCTTCTGACTCTACACTTTACCTTTTTCTTCACGGGTACAAGATAGGCATTGGCCTTCTCGGCTTACATGAATGCAATGTCTAGGAGAGAAATCTCCACTATAACAACCTCTACGACAGAACAAGGAACTGCAGATAAACCAAGGAGGTATAATATATCTTAATGCCTGCAAAGACGTCACCTGCTCCTCTGTGTCAGAGTACAACAGAAGAAGAAAAACCGAGATGGGGACTGTGACCTCGCCTTCCCCTGAGGTGTGGACATGCCAGGCCCAGACTCACGAGGTCTGGCCTGGAGCCATTACAGGCAGTCCTTCAGCAGGCACTAAAACCGCTGGGGGTGAGCTCCTGCATGGGATGTCAGCTGCACCCTGCCTGGGAGAAGGACTCAAGGACGTTATAGGTGCCCAGCAGCAGTGGGGATGCAGAAACAGGGAGGTAAGGTGGCCCCCTCCTTGCCCCCTGGCCGGAGGGCAGCCTCAGCCTGCTCCCACCTCGCACCCTGTGGGCACCATGAGGCTTCTGCCAGCACCAAAGACCTTCCTCCAGGTCAGGGCTGTTGTCCAGAAAAATAGCTTTTCACTGGGAAATTGGTTCCTGTTTGTTTTTTGTTTTTGTTTTGGTTTGTTTTTAAATGGGGAAATAAGCTGCTGTTACCTTTTTTTCCTTCCGTAGCACTACATAGTGCATAAACTGGGAAAAACAGCTACCCAGCCAGCATCTCATTAAGTAATATGGGGTGTTGTACGAGCTGGAACACCACTAGCGACATGAAAGTTGGGCAATTACAGACTCATTTGAGGCATGACAGGTCTGCGTATGCTTTCATATTCCAGGCAAGAAAAGCATAGAAGTAGGTATCCCTACTGGTCTCCATTCTCATTTTTGACCAATTTCAGGATTTACTGCATTTATCTTAGAAATGTGGGACTCTGTGAGCATCTGTGAACAAGCTCTCAAGCAGATGGCTTCTCCCGCTCCAGCGTGCATGGTGCTGGCGAATGTGCCACCGATGGTAGGTCACTACGGCCACAGCACTGATAGAGGAGCAGGTCCGTATCCTGAATTACACTGACACAGGGGATTTTTCTTTTGTGTAATTCAGGGACAAAACCACCAACATATGCAATCGGTGCCCCATACAAGGGATTTGAATCAGCTGTATGTATGGCTGTTTGCCTGCCAGGCAAGGCACTGTTTTAAACTCCCATCAGCAGGCGCCTGAAAAGGATTCCTTAGAGATCCTAATTTCTATCAATGGATAATGATACTGATATGATCTCTAAAAATTAATGCATTTGATATATCATAAAGAAAATCATTCACAAGACACAGACCTGTCAAGTCTCTGTGTGCATAAATTGTAATTGCCATCCCTCATCTTCGAGACATGGGGCTGACCCCCTGCGGCGTCACCCAACCCCACCACTGGACCTCTTTCCTCGGTGACACAGCCATGCACTCACCACTCTAAAAGCAAGATTAAATTATTTATCAGGCTCCGTGTGCAGGGATCCGCTGTGATTGATCACAGCGATGGGTACAACTGTACCACAAAGTGCTGTGCCTCAAAAGCCGCTTGTCCCAACCCTGCTGTGCCTGACCCAGTGTCAGCCCGACCTCCTGCACGGTGGCCAGGGCTGCTGTCACCCTCGAAACCCTCATGCTCCAGCCTGGCGTTGCTTTGCCTCACTCGTGGTTTCTCTATGAATGCTAACGGGGTGATACACTGATTAACCAGTGTGTCCAGGGCTTGCCTTCTGTGCTGCCGGGCTAGGGAAGCCATTGGCAGGGCAGGGTCACCCCAAAATCACCTGCGTGCTGCCCAGTGTGGGGCTGCCCTGTTGGGAAGGGAGTGTGTGCTGGTCTGGCAGCAAACCTGGACTCGGGGTTGAATGGAACAAGACAGAAAGAGATTGCCTGGCAGCTCCAGCGAGCGGCACATGGCCGTGCCCTGCCACAGACGAGGATGCCATCATGTGGCCAAAGCTTTTTATTCACTTCCCACTTGCTTTTCATGTTTTTATATTAAAAGCTTTCTGCCCTCTGCTCCCTTTCTACACTGGGTAGTCCACAGCTCTCCCTGACAGCTCCTGCTGGCAGGTGTGTGTTCCACGAGAGTTTTTTCCGAGTAAATCCTGGGCATCCATCTCAAAACTGGTTTAATTGTATGAAGAATATCAGGAAAAATCACCGTGCAATTCCAACGTGGGCCTCAGGGCTTTACGCCCAGGGAGGCACTGAACAGACCAAACCTGGGCACCGTGAGGGCAGGATCATTCAGATACACAGCTTGTTGCAAACCTCATCAATTTAATTAATTCAAGGTCCATTTTACATAATGCAGGCAGATAAGCAACACCATTTATTTGCACTGAAAAACCAGTCTCCCCGAGTATTATCCCTGGAGACATATGATATCATGCATCTAAAGAACATGTTTTACGTATATGCATTAAAATAGGTAACATGGAAAGGATGAATCCTTAAATGCAGCCAGCAACAAATACTTGTGTGAAGGCTCATCAGTTTTATCCATATTGTTTATCAAAAACAGTTCCCTGTGTTCTTGCCAAGCTCAAAGGCACTGTGAGCCTCCTCTCCTGCAAGTCCTGAGATGAAGCAACACCAGGTGTTTCTCCCACTTTTTAAGGCCAGTTTTGGGGGAAGCCACACTTCTGTTTTTAATTCGGGCCCCAGTGAAGAGGAGCCCAAGGTTGGGGACCCCATTTCTGAGTGCTGCTCCAGGCCCAAGGTTTTAGGCACTTTCTGCTGAGGTCTTCAAGTCTTGTCGCCAATTCCTCTGTTCATCCAGGGAAGGGGACGTAGGAGTTTCTCTGTCCTTCTCCTCCTTTTATGGAGGAAAGCTGGACGGCTACTCCAGGTTGTCTTCAGAAACCTTTACTGAGGGCATCAGCCAAAACTGCCATTGCTGGGCTTTTTCCCCAGAGCTCTTCTTCTCCAGAGGAAGATGGGGGAGAACCATACATTTCCCACAGGACAGTGTTGTCCCAGACTGTTCCCCCATGCCGCATGTCCCTCTGCATGCGAGGCTGTTACCCTCAGCCTCTCCTGCCAGTGCCACCAGAGTCCTCTTGTCCCAGCAGAGCTGGTTCTTCTTGGTTTTTGGCATCAGAAGCTCCATGCTTAGAAAATAAAGCATGGAGATATTTAACAGCATAAACAGAAATAATCATGATGTAAAAGATCTTGGAATAATTGAAAGGCTGAGGTAGACCAAAGAGAGACCTGGGTCTGCCCCAGTTGTCTCAGTGGGGTTGCAGCAAAGAGCTGGAGGTCAGAAGCTGGCCCATGTATTTTAGAGAATAGTTTGGGATAAACTCTGCATCCCTTAAAGAGACTTCCTTTGGTGATGGTCTCTCAAGGCTGCAAAGTGATGTCTGCAGGATTTGGCAGTTGGCAAGCTGGACTGTCATGTCAGGGAGATCAGAAGGTCTAATGAGATACCTCTAGCAGGTCGCTGGAGGCCTACACAAGGCGAGTTAGGTAAATTAATAGGCAGCCATCTATATGAAATGCAGACTTATTTTATTGTTTTCTGAAGAAAAAGAGCAGCTTAGTCTCTGAATTTAATGTCCTCCTGTTTCCCAATTTAATTTATACCTTGGATAACAAACTGAAGTTGTTGAAGCCCTTCGCATTTTTTCATGATAACGTGTTAAATTGTGGCAAACTGGAGAGTTCTGTGATGTAAAACACGAGTATCCGTTCATACGGGTGGAGTCATCCATTGCTTTGATGCTGAAAGCAAGCTAGGATTTGGTGGGAATCCAGACCTTCCTACACAAAAAGCACCTGCACACCCACCACACCTCCTCCTTTCCTTGTTCACAAAAAAGTCGAGCATTATACGCAGTGTTGTAAAAAAGACGCTCCCTTGGCTGATGTCGGGTGGGCTGGGTTTGGGTGTCTCACTTGTGTGGGTAAGGGAAGTAAATTGTTCTCTCAGCTCAATGGGAAAATGTCATCGGTGATAAAGCCCAACACTACCATGGGAATTATTAAGGTGCTTTTAGACAACAGAGTGAAAGATAAGAAAATGGTCTTTGGATTTGATTGAGCTGGTGCAGTTTTTGGAGTCCTCCAGGGACTAAGCCCGTGGCAGAAGAGAAAGCAGATGCTGTAGGTGCAGGATGGGAGTCTTCGGTCAGAGCAGCTGAGCCTTCACCAACACCACATGCTGATTTGGCTCAGGAAAGTAGGAGACTTTCAGGTCTTCTTGGCAACGCTTTTGAAATAAGAAAGAAGGAGGTTTATGAAGTACTGCAGAAAACAGCAAAGACTGCTAAGAATAATCTTGAGTATTTAACTGCTAAAAAAGTTTCTTCAACCAGATATTTTTAATGCTGCTCCTTTATGCAACCCTAGGTTTATGAGGGAAAGAGAAAACTGTGAGTTGATAGTCAAGACACTTTCAAAGGGCTTATTTCAGGTCTTTGTGGATGGATCAAGGGAGGAAAGGATACTGTGCAGGCACTCTAGTGAGAATGGTATTTCAAAATTTATAAAATGTTAGAGAATATTCTCCTTTCAAATTTTCTTTTCTGATTCATACTAATAAAAACAATCACAACAATCAGAACAGATTGCAATGAAATTCCAGGAGATCTGGAATGAAACCAAAATCCATCGGCACATCTATTGTCTGCTCCAAATCCCACAGACCCAAATTTGAAAAGTGTTTGACTATTCAGATGTAGGTAGCCATGTAAGCTATCTGACTTTCAGAGGATCTATACAATTGCAACTCCATTTGATTCAAAGATTAATTCTCTAATTTTAACAAAGCTAGAGGGTCTTTATGTGCTGACCTGGAAGTTAAGGATTGGTCTCAGTTTGGTCTCTTTTCATTGCTTTGAGGGAAAGTTCATAGCCAAGAAACATGGCTGAACTCATTGGGAATCCTCGCACTGCATTGATCGTGATGCCCCTAAAAAAGACCTGTTGGGGATGGAGAAAGGTTAGAGCATAGGAATATACTGGCTATTTTAAGAAGAAGAAGAAAGCATTGAACAAAGTCATGGTGGGATTCTGAGGAACCAAATCTTGGTTTGCTCAGGAGATACACTCTCACTGCTGGTCTTTGCTGAAGTCTGGAGAATGGAAATGCAATGGCAAAAGTCACTGGTTTGGTATCATTGTGTTCCATGCTCCCTGTGGACCCCACTCTGTATCTGCCAGCAAGAGCTACAAGAGGTAAAGGGTAAAAAATGGCCTCATGCCACTGGTGTAGAGCAGAAAGCAAGAAATCTAAAACGTCTTCCAGTGTTGGTCTACCTAGCTACTGGTCCTTCTTCCCTTTGCATATGTCAGCGTGCGAGGATCATGCAAACCCCAGGGTACAACAGGAAGGCTGTTGCTTTCATGCAGCAAATGCTCTGACTCCTGGGGCTGGGTCTATGGGTGCAGAAGACGTCTGGGAAGTGGAGAGGGAGCAGTGTGGCTGTGAGCCAGCCTGGCCGATACGGGCACTGTGCCACGTGGACTATTTTGCAGGTTTCACCTTTGAGCATAGGAACAATTTCTCAATCGTCAGAGAACTAGACTTACTCTGTACCTTGCTGAGAACTAGCTCTTGCCACCGGCTTTGGAAAAAAATATTCGATAGAAGCTGATATTCTCACATGTCGGTTCCTAAGGTCAAGCTTTGGTGCTCATACATATCCCAGAGTTTTCTTTCATTAAAATAATAAATATGAATTTATACAGCCAGACTTCCCCATTCTACTCAATATATATTTTTTTAAAAGATGGTGGCACTTACAAAAGTGAAAGACGCTGTGTTAAGTGCTTGAACAGTAAAGTGCTTTTTGGAAAGTGGAGAAGGGGCCCTTGTTGCTCCTGGCATTGGCTTGTCTCCCTTCGAAACCCCCCTCACTACAGGCATTGCTGCCTGGTATGTGCAAGGGTGCGCACAAACCACTCACTCTGGGGTGAGCCTACTTACAAAATGATGATTGCAGGGAGTATCTCTGCTGGCCTGTTTCTCACACAATCACTCGGTTAACCAACCAGCCTAATCACTGTGGTCACTAATCTAAACACCAGAAGTTCAGAATAGACACAAAAAGTAACATCAGCAAAGCAAGCCCCCTTCCAGGCTTTACAAAGGCAAAGCTCCCACAGCTACTCTAAGAAAGCATGGAGGATCTTGGCTGCAAGAACCAGAAGCCCATAGATTTAAGTGTCTAACCAGCATTTTCCCTGAAATACTGAGGTCTGCTAAACATGACCGTATCTTGTATCCAATAAATCCAGTGCATGGTGCTGACTTGTACGAGACAGAATCAAAACATCTTCACGTTGTTTAGGATAGAGTTTGCAACGTGAAATTGCAATATTGGGATATTTAGGATATTGCTTGATTTATTGGGGTGTTTTATTTTGCTAGGAAAGATAGAATTTTCTGGGAGGAAATTCAAATTTTTGCAGTATCCGTAAAGTAACACGAGAGACCCAAGTTAAATAATAATGAAGATTTATGAAGAAAAGCCCAGAGACATACTTTTTTTCTCATCAGAATGAACACACCTGACTATGGAGAAAGAAGAGGGCTATATTTACATTTTTTTGTGTACACCAGGCAATTATTTTCAGCACTGCGAATGCGGTTCCTTTGTCCCAGAATGAAAACATCCAGAGCTGGGTTTGCCGTTTATCAGTTCTGTGTCCCCCAACACATAAAAAGGTTTTCCTTACGAGAGAAGGATCTAGTCTTATCATCAGCTGTTACTTAACCCTATTGCTGGCTTTGGTCCGGGTGCCAGGTATGATAGAAAAACTGCAAGCAGCTCAGACCTCAAACAAAAAAAATCTAAGTGCCTGAATTAGTTGTTAATATTCAGGCAGGACAAGGAGGGTAGGGGGTGAGGATGAGGACGGAGAGAGAAGGGAAAACACATGGAAATTCCCTTTTCAGCCACCCTGTGTTTTACTGTGAAACTGCATGCCAAACTGAACGGGCAGGGCAGGTGGTCTGCGTAGAGCCCAGGGCACCCTGACCCTCTTCTGACCCTCCGAGCATGGTCTTTAGCATCTCTCCAGGTGCCTGTGCTTCATATGACTGTGACTTTCTTCACTCAGTGGCAAAAAATGAACCAGACTGCAGGCTCCTGTGACGGCTGGCGTAACATAGTGGCATGTTGGCAAATATTGAAATCGCACTAACTTGTGATTTTGCAGGTTATTTTTCTTTTTGTAACTTGTTACTTTTCTCTCAGAATGTGAAAATTAACACTTTGGAGTTAAGAGCCCACGTGATGTTTTGATGACAACTTAAATACAGATTTATTTCAATATCAGAAGACGTAACCATGCATTGGCAGTGCAATAAAGCTGCAAACCCTGGTTCTCTGCCATTCACATTTAACCGAGGCAAAGTTTGCAGGTAGAACAAACAACTTTTATTACACTAATAAACAAAGTCAGAAAAAAGGGATAAGGTTTTTTGGCATGCATTCTTCACGTTCGAAGCAGAAGCAATTCTGATTTAAGAGCATTTTCAATCTACTCTGCCTTGGTGCAAATTGAGGGTGGGCAGCATCAGTTCCACCAAAGCATTGCCCAAGGCAACCTAACGCACCCGGGGTGCCAACCCGGTCCCACTGGAATCAGTTCCCATTGACTTCGGTGTCCGTGAAAAATATTTGACCTCTGCATTTTGTAGAAGCAATCACAGGGGCAAGATTTTCTACCTCTGATTTATGATGTCAAATCATATTCACAATTAAATGCACTGACATGAAGTGTTATTTTAAGTCAGTTACACCGGCAGGCTGCGACCCCCAGCCATTCATTTTTTCATTGCTGTAAGGCACATTATTACTCTCACTATTATGATTTAGAAAGAATCTGCACTATAATTACCTGCTGTCATTATTATAATTTAGCAGTAACTGGCTTTAGCTGTCTCTCAACCCTGCAGATAGGTTTGTAACAGCCATTGTATTTCCCAATTGAAAATTAAATGCCTCATACCCAGATTTTACTTCAAATACCACTTACTTTTAAGCCCTCGTTCTGGTAGCTCTGCAAGATACAGTCAAGGGTCCCTTTGTACTTGTTTAAATAAACTCCATCTGCCTGAAGTCGACTTTTCACAACATCCATTGGAGTAGCAGTCCCCCAGGAAATGGCTCCTAGAAAAATGCAGAAGTATTTGAACAATTTCTTCTCTATATTTCCTTGGCCACAGGTCAGTGAACTCAGAAATTCACCTCTCATCTACCACGTCATATTCACGGGATTTTCATCTCAGGGCATTCACCCTGCTCAGGTCCAGGAACGGTATTTCTGGGAGTAAAATTCCCTGTTTCTGAAAGAAGCAGAGATTTGGGGGGTTACGCTGGTAATCAAATGCAGGCAGCCCAGGAGGTGCTCCCCCAGGTGCAAATACATCTTCTGCCGTGCTTCTGGTGGAGCATGGAGGTGTTGTGGAAATAGCCCGAGCTGCGGGGAGCTGCTGCTTTCAGAAAAACTGGAGTCCTCAGATAATACTGTTGAAAAGCGAAGTTTGAGCTGAGAATGCAAGAAAGAGGCTGGTCCATCTCATGCAACCAGGATTAGGCTCCGTGCAGCTGAGATACATCGTTATTCCAATAAAGAGACCGTCTATCTGCACTGATTAGCCTGCAGCTGAGTGGGACGTTTTGCCTCTCTAAATAGGTCAGCACGTGACCGCAATACGTGGCCCAGCTGGACAGATGAGTTTGGACCTACGTGGGTGTTGGGGCATACTAGAGAAGCTGTCCAGATGGGCCAAGGCTCTATTTATTTGCCGGAGAAACGGAGAGGGCATTTTGTAATCATTACCTGAGCTAAGGATTGACTTGCGTTTAGGGGTCTGCAATTTAGAAATGGCCAAGAAATGAGGAGTGGGTGTAGGGGTGACCTTACACATGTAAGCATGGTAGGGGGACGCACATGCCAGTCTTACTGGCAGGTGTACACAGGAAAAAAAGATGATCAGTAACAGTCAACTCTGCTTCTGCTCCGTGCAGGTAGGGTGCACACCCTCCTGGTGGGCAGCCAACAGGTTGAAGTCCTCTTCTGGAGGCACCTTGGCCGCCGTGTGTCACTGGCAATGTGATACGCAGACTGCTGCGAGACGTCCAGGGAGGTGAAGGCGCTGGCTGTTTTCCTTCTCGCTGACATTGACCCTGATGAAGATCTGATAACGCAACTTCCATAAAGTTTGTCAAGTCATAAAGCGCAGCCGTGGTGCCAGGGGACCTGGCCCTGGGGGGGGGAAGGTCGTTCAGCCCCATGTCCTCTTGTGGTGACCGGGAGGATGTGGCGGCCCCTGAGCCACCCCTGGGAACCTTCCTGTCCTTGTTTTGCCAGTGTTGTGGGAAAAAAGGGTGCTTACCTGCTACACCCCCTGCCAGCCAGATGGAGGAGGGATTAGGGGAAATGCATCCATCAGAGGTAATCCATTCACAGAAAAACGTGTAAGGGGTGAAATAGAGGCAGTACCCAGGAACATCCCTCAGAAGCATTGCTCCCGCACCTCGGTATATTCCTGCTATCCCCTCTTTCTGTAGGACTGTCCTAAAACAGTGAATTGGGCCTCGGTACACAGGAAATCCAGGAATGGTGGGCTTTAGTTTAATGTTTGCTGCAAAAAAAGATACAACCGTTATAGTAGCTATATTGCTACAGAACTCCTCTCAAAAGCCTACCACCACTGAACAGACAGCAATCACTGCCATCCATTTTTTTTTTGCTGGGGTCACTATGTAGTGTGGGAAATAAAGTTTTAAGAAAGGGGACTTAGGTCCATTTTTAAAAGATGTTTAGACGCTTCAGGACAGATTTTTCTTAGCTGCATTTCATGCTTTCCAATAGGTATGTGCCCGGTGAGATTTCCAAATGAGTTTAAGGCTATGTGCCCAATTTTCATGGATTTTAACCACATGGTGCCAAGCTGCATCTTTGAAAGCCTTGGCATCTTCAGAGCCTGGCCCTTCTGATACAGAGGACCAAGCTGCTTTTGGAAAGGGCATTAGGTTGCTAAGCTGCGTGGAGGCTTTTAAAAATGGATATAATATTATTTCATCAAACCAATACAAAAATGTCAATTTTTCACAGTTAAGCACCGCAATTGTAATCATGAGAATGGTGTTTGTGAAACTGCTGAAATCCAAGCTGTTCAGCTCTGAAGCTGCGCCGTCTCTTCCTTCGGCTGTGCATGTGCTCTGATAGGGTTTGCTCCGCGCTGGCAGCCTGCGATGAAATTCAGCTGCCGCCTCGAGCAGAAGCAGCTCCTTCTGCCTGCAGCTTCTGGAGAGGTTACAGCTGCCCGCTGCCATCCTGCCAGTGTCCCCTCCTGACCCGCCTTGCCTGCGCCTGCGTTACCTGCAACCCTGCCCCGAATAAGCCAGCCGTTTTCAAATGTACATGTGAAATTTTTGCTTTTGAACAGAGGGGGGTGGAATAACAGAGAGGGGTTTATGGGCAAATATATGTGGGGCTGAGAGTGTGCAGCAGGAGATGGAGAGCTGGCATTACCGCTGGCAGTTGGGATCTCCAGGGGACCTGACAGCCCAGGGACTTGCTGTTCCTGCCTCACAGCCGTGTGGGGGAGGCAGCTCCAGTGGCTACAGGTCCTGAGTAGACCTGCCCCTGTGTTCGTTATAGATCCCAATCAGCTGGGAACACCAGCAGAGATCTGATCAATGTCACTGATAAAAACCCTCCCCTTGAGCTGAGCAGGATGGGGTCCATCCTGAGGCAGAAGGAAGCATTTTTAGCTTAATTGCAGCAGCACAAGGCAGCAGAGAGCCAGGCCTTGAAGCAAAGTTGTCCTAAAGCTCTCGGTAAACACTGAGAACTGGCAGAGAAAGGAAAAAGAAATTCTTGCTTCCTACCTTTGATGTATGGCTGCATTTGCATCTGTAGCCTTATCTTTACCAGGTCCACAGGAGTGCCGATGCCCACGGAGACGAACCCTGCCACCATGCTGGCCAGAGCCACGTCAGCAAGCGCTGGTGTGTGAGATGAATCTCCATGGCGGAGCTGGCTGAGGAGCCGTTGCGTGTTGCTGAAGACGCCAAACACCACGGAGCTGTAGACGGCAATGCTGGCCAGCGGGAAGGACATGCCTTTGAAGAAGCCAGCCACCTATCCAGGGAAGGGAGCAGGAGTTAAGGGAGCGAACGGGACTGAGCAGAGTAAACCCCAACTTGTCTATCAGGCCAGCAATGCAAATCCAAGTACCAGATGTCTCCTGGAACCAACCATCTGCACATGCTGAGCAAATGAAAATTAGTTCATACTGCTAAAGACTTGTAAACATTGTGCAGAATACAGGATATGCTGAAAGCACAGGAACCCATGTAGAAGTCCCTCTTATGGCCAGCTTCTGTCCTGGCATCACCAAAGTCAGCAAAATACCTGCGGTAGAGCTTTGCCAGCAGGTACAGGCAAAAGAGCCACTGTGGATGTAACATCCTGACCCATGCAGAGACATGGGCAATGTCATTTATCACTCCCTGCCAGGGATCTCTCTTTTCCCTATAGGAATAACCAAGAGAGTTACCTTAGAGTTAGCAAGAGAAGGCTGTAGAAATTTGCAGTCTCAATTGCACCAACTTTATTGGTCTTCATATAACTGCTGGTGTCAACTGTGATTTTGTATAATTGCTTTATGTATTTAGCTGTTTATCTATTTGCATTTCCTACCAGCACATTTTAAGTAAGATAAAGTACTTACAGACTCATTTCTGTACACAGTGAGAACACAGTTGAGTGTATTTCCATATCCTTGTCCAGCTTGCAAACGAGTCTGCAAAAGACATGAAATGCGATTAAAATCCAGCCCAGTGAAAGCTCATAGTACATAAACAATGTGTACTTTGCTTTGAGAGCGAATCTTTCCTTAGCTCAAAGAAAACAGAGCAATAAAATAAGATATATATGCATCCACCCTCCCTTGAACTTTGCCAGAAGCAGGGCTACACAGGACCTCAGAGGTCTGAAGCTTTCTGCAACATCTGGAATCGATGACTGTCAAATTGCTCTCGAGTCCAGACCAGCTACCCGAGCCGGGCACAGCGCTTGCGGCAGACTGCTGGTGTGCAGTGCTGTCATTGGCAAGGTCCTGATTTATGTGCAAATTGGAGAGTGATGTATTCTCCCCCGTTCGGGGACTCTCGGTGGAGGTTGGCATGCGTTGCTTAAGGATGGAGAGGAGAGCTCCCCTGGGAGGCTTCCGGGGCCCTTCTGATACAAGGTGGATTTTAAGACATAGAAATACTATCATAGAATACATCACAGAAATTCTCCATGCTTCACTCAAAAATACAGTTTTACATCATTTCCAACAAAGACATTCTGTTTCTGGAAAGCAATGGTTATACCCCTTCCAAAAGATGCCTACAACAGCTGTAAGAAATGGCATGTAAATCACGACAAAGCCTGTATGCTTCAACATGCCTTCCCCTTCTCACATAAATACATAGACATAAACACATGCACACACATATTTAGATCATCTTTCATTCAAGCTGCTCACAAGTTTGCAGTAACAAAACACCAACAAGTGATGCATTTTTTGGGCTTAGAGGTGTGTGAGGAAACGGAAACCCTATTTGGTTCGCAGGACTTGGGGCTTCAGCAGTTAATCTTGGCTGAGGCCAGAGCTCATTTTTTATAGGAAGACACTCACATGTGCTCTGTCGGGGATGTTTTTACGGAATGAAGATGGCATTTCTGGTTGTATCCATCAGCATTGCTGCTAAAAAAAAAAGGAATGGCAAAATGAAGCCTGGAGGGACAGTGCTCACCCGTGCTGGAGGCAAGTGCCCGGTCCCCTCCAGTGGCTCAGCCCTGACTTACACCAGGGTGAAGCAGGAACTTTATTTGGGAATTTAAAGCCCAAAGGAGTGAGTGTCCTCCGGAGTTCGTGCCTGGGGAGAGCTTTTGGACAGCAAATAGCAGGTTGAATGACACAATGATTTGGCCCAGAGCCCTGCCCAGGGCCCTGCAAGAGGCTGACCAGTGGGGTGCTGCTGTGGGACCCGTCTGGGGAGCAAGAAGGACCGAACCCCGGGCTCACCCCTCACCCCAGGGTGGCTCTGTGCAGCCGTCTGCCTGCACCGAGCACCGAGCACCGCTCTACGCCTGGCCAGAGGCCACGGAGAAAGTGGCAGTGAAAGCAGAATATTTACTGAGCCCTTATAAACAGGCTGGTACGTGACGATGCCGGCTATGGCTCATGCAGCACACATTGTGCAATGCAGGCAGGCCCGGGCCAGGGGTGCAGACCTGTGCACACTGTGACTCATGTGGGGGGTAACGGGGCCAGGGGGATTGGCGGGGAGGCTGGCTGCACCCCGAGCAGCCCGGGACAGGGCAACTGTGGTGCACAGACCTGCATTCTCTCCTGGCTTCATCTGCACACTTAGCCCAGACGTTTCCATTTTGCCCCCATGGGCTTGTTTTTTTTTCTTTTACACAGTAACCAGGTATTTAGAGGTTCAAGTTAATACATTTTTTGAGTAACTGAGGGCAACTGAGCGTCCTCACAAGCTGCTCCTTGCACATATGCCCCTTAGCTAAGCTGTTAACACCCAGCGCTGAAATCCCTGCTGGCATCTCTGTCAAAGTCAGCTGATACCAGTATGGATATCCCTCAGAAAACTTCTCCTTTCTGTTACATTTTAATTAGACAGGGCCCTTGGGTGACACCCAGAAACTGAAGAAAGGTCTGGGGAAATGAATGCAATATGGAGGATGAAAAGTGCGTAAATGTAAAACTATTTAGAGTTTTGCAAAGCTGTGGAAAAACAGCTGCTTGGGTTTGATGGAAGCCGCGACGCTGGGAAGGGGCCAGTTGAAGGAGGAGGCCTGCTTGATGGGAACCATGGTGCAGATGCCACATACCCCATCCAACCTTTCGTTCAGTCTTGTCCTCTCCTCCAGGTGGGGAAGGACCCCCAGTCCCCTGGAGGCTGCAAACGCTGCTGAGCTGCCCCTTTGCTGGCTTAGTGCCACATAAAAACTCTCCTTTCCACTTCCCTTCCCCTAAATTTGGAAAGATAACAAGTCTGCCTACTTGGTATTCCCAGGCCATGTCCAAAGCCAAGGGCAACGGAGGGGTCAGCCTGACAGTTGTCTTTATAAGCACTGAAGGATGGGCTCGCTCTTTCTTGGCATCCAGAAACTTGATGCTTCCCAGCAGGATCCGTTGTTGCCAAACTCCCCCAAACCTGGCAACGACGCCCTGATGGCCAGCCTGAGATGGAGATTGCCTTGGCAACCCTTGGGCAGAGCCTGCCTGCGCTGCCCGTTCCCTGGCCCTGCCCATCGCTGGGATGGTGCGGGCAGCCTTGCGGCTCCTCCTGCAGGGGGTCTGCACCCATCCTCACACGGCATTGCTCCAAGGGCTGGTATCACCTTAGCAGCTCGGAAAGGATAGGGCTGGCAGGCCGTCTCCCAACCCTAGGAGAGCCAGCTCTGTGCGAGGGGATGGCTGTGATGGCTGGGGAAAGGATGTGCCGTGCTGGAGCCTGCCTCCTCCCCATTTCCCTCCAAGGGTCTCTAAGGTGCAAACAGGACCACTGGCTCTTGAGTCTGCTGCATCTGACAACCCCGCCTGGTGCCAGCAGTGAGGCTTAAACCAGATCAGAGCACATGGGCAGAACAGTTGAAGCAGTGAAAGCTGGCCAGAGATGCCTATCACGCTGTGCAAAAGGAGAAAGGAACAGGATCTTCCTCTATATCTCTGCATCAGTAGGGATGGTCAACTTGGTTGGGTCAGGCTGTATTGGTGTGTGCATGGGCTTGTCTGCATCGTGCTAGCGAATATCTTCGTACATCTCTAAACCCTTCCCTCTGAGGAATAATTGTCTTGCAGGAATAGTAAATATTGCATCTCATAGCCCTGGGATAACAATTTCAGCACTCTGCCCTTCCAGCGTAGCCAACACTAGGAAAACATAAAAATGTGCCTGCCACAAAACAAATACAGTTCCCCCGTTGCCCTTTGAATACTTGTCTGTGGCAAAGTTCAATAAAACGTTGGCAGAACTGTTCAGTAAACCACACATTAAGTGAGGCCAGGTTTAATTATCAGCATTAATCCTCACTGGAGGAACTCACACCTATCAGCCAGTTCTTTTAGTTTCTCATTCGAAACAAGCATTGGAGAGGAAGAAAGGCTAAAGCCTACGAAAATATTTCTACCCCGGCTAAATTCCTCGTTGGGGTGACGGGGGAAGTGAAGGTCTTTAGAAGCGTCATCTAGAAAGAGGCCATCTCCCCATCGGTGGAGTTTTGGGTGGTGACGTGAGAGCACAGTTCAAAGTGGTTTACCTTGATAGTGTCCAGGGGGTGGCCCACAACCACGCTGGCAGCTCCTGGGGATGAAAGCAAAGCGTTACGCAAAACATTGAAGAAGCTTTTGTGACGGGACAGGAAGCGATGGGTTTATAGGGGAGGAGGAGAGATTTCCATAGGAACAGCCGTACTGGGCCAAGCCAGAGCAATGCCCAGCGCAGTGCCCTGTCTCTGACAACAGGCAAAAGCTGGGCAGAAACACTTGTGCATCTTCCCCCAAATACTCTCCTGGACTCCATCAACTTTACATCTCAAAGGCATCCAAGTGAGAGGAGGGGGTGTTGTATTTGTATGAGCTGTCCATGAACAACCCCCCCTGCACTCTTGCAAGCTCATGCAAACTTTTAGCCTCAAAATGGTGAGATTCAGGTTAGACATGAGGAAATGCTTTCTCCTGGCTCAGATAGAGAGCTGCACTATAGCTGACTGCTGATGGGGACTGTGAACCCCCAGCCTTTGCCATTTTAAGAGCAGTTTATAGAGATACCTGTCAGAGATGGTTCAGATAAAGAGGATCCTGCTCTGTATCGATCTCTGCAGTCCCATCCAGCCTCATTCCCCATGGTTCTCTGGGAGAAACTGGCCCATTCCGCCTTACCATCCTGCCCACCTACACACGCTGCTCACTGCCAGGAGCCCCCGTGGCAGGGCAGAGCACGGCTTGGTTTCCCCCTTCTCCAGGAGGATGGAGCAACCCACGTGCTGTGGCCAGGATATGGTTTTGTGTGCTTGTTGCAAGCAACACCGGCTGTTTTTAGGGTGTTTGTGGAGGTGGTGGGTAATTCGTGCTGCTTCCCCATCTGCAAGTCTCCATGCAAACCAGTGTCCCCAAGTGCTTTAGAGACTACATGAAATTACTCACTTGTAGTGGATTAGGACTGAAAAGAGCATCATGTCGTTGGTCAACACATTAATACATTTATTATAAAATGTCCCCTCTCCTCCTGGACCTTAACCTGAGACCACCAGTAGTCCAGTGCTATGCATGAAAACTGGCCGCTGCCACCGACACTGAGCGCTGGTGGTTGTCACCCCCCCCAGACGTCCTGTGCCACTCCTGCGGGTGTGTGGCAATAGCACAGGGCCAGCAGGGCAGAGGGAGCGACTGCGTGCTGCACAGCCTCCCCAGGCTGCAAAGATCCAAAAATCAGCTGCTCACGTAACCTTTTGGCAGAGGTTCTGGTTTTTTTTAGAGTCAGCTAACCTATTAACCTCGTCCGGCCGGTCAGGATCCGTGAGTCGTCTCACACCCATATCCTGAGCCTGGCGTGAGCGGTAGCCTGGGCAGAGCTCTGGCCTGGGGCGGCCGGTGCTGCGATTGCCCCTCTGCCCGGCCGCTCCTGCAGCCCATCCCGGGAGCGTGCACCTTAGCCGTGCACCTTATCAGCTGTTAAACCCAGTGGGAACTTTCGGTTCTGTAAGACATACTACATTCCTGGTGCCTTTACTGATCCTCCCGTTTCCTTTTCTTTCTGGTGTCTATTTTCCCGGTGTTTGCAGTCAGCATTTTCAGCAGACCGGATCAATACCCCTCCGTGCCAGCATCGCCGCCCTG